ATCCAAATAATTATAGTATTATGACTATTATGTAATAACTATAATATTATTGATTGTTTAGTTTTATTTTACTGATTTTGCATATTTATGTCCTAATTTCAAATTTATTTTTAAACTTTAACTATTGAAAAGGTTAGTTCTAAGTTAAAAGTTTAATAAAAAGATTTATATTTTTGTCAAATTTGTATCTATATTAATTTAAGTCGTAAGTATATATATGAGGAATAAAGATACATACTACACTTTTTTACGGTATTTGGACTCTCCTCCTCCCCCGCGCCTTTTCCCCATTGAATCAATATATATTTATTTACACATAATAATAGGTTAGAAAATAGGTTCTTTTGTTGTACCCGAAATATACAATTATCATATCGGCATCTATCGACATATAATACTATCATATTGTTATGGATTTATTGGTAAACGGAAAAAAAGTCCCCGGTAAAATAGTCTCCGGTAAGAAAGTCCCACGGAAAAAAAGTCTCCAAATTAATATTTGATTTAAATTCAGTCTTTTATCATATAGGTATTTATATAGGTACATAGCCCAGGTACCTAATACATATACATGTTACATATTTTATTGAACATAATTAACAAACAACTAAATTAAATAGGTACCTTTCTAGGATTAAAAATTATTGTAGATAAGTATTTATATAGATAATTATGTACATTTTAAATTCATTGAAAATAAAGTCTTGAAAAAAATGAAGTTCGATTGAACATTTTATGTCAACGTTTTGATGAAGACAAATCTGCAGATATTCCTAATTTTTTAAAGCAAATAGGTCAAAATATAAGAAAGAGATCTTTTATATCTGAATAATTACACTTTTATATTTTTTAAATAATATTATAGGACATATTGTATTCAATTTTTAATTATTTTACGAGAGGTACATATCTAAATAAATACATTTTTATATTTTTTAAATAATATTATAGGACATATTGTATTCAATTTTTAATTATTTTACGAGGGGTACATATCTAAATAAATACATTTTTATATTTTTTAAATAATATTATAGGACATATTGTATTCAATTTTTAATTATTTTTACGAGGGGTACATATCTTAATAAAGACATTTTTATATTTTTTAAATAATATTATAGGACATATTGTAAGGTACCTATTTAATTTAGTTGTTTGTTAATTATGTTCAATAAAATATGTAACATGTATTACCTATGGGCTATGTACCTATATAAATACTTATATGATAATGAATTTAAATCAAATATTAATTTGGAGACTTTTTCCGTGGGACTTTCTTACCGGGGACTTTTTTTCCTAATATCGGATTTATTAGATAGTTATTACTTGTTACTTTTTACCCAATTAAATGGGTAATGATTGATAAACCAAAGTTATGTGAAAGTATTATTGAATTACCTATATTTATATATTAATTTAACAATTATTTAATAAAAAATCTCGTAAACAGTAGGTACATTTATTTATTTACATTTGTAATTGTCAATTTGTATATTATTCTTTAATATTTTTTTAATAATAATATTAATGAATTTTATATTGGAAATAGTTTTATCATGACATATTATTGAATTATATTTATATATATAAATTTAATCATTTGTTCATTTACTGATTTGCATTGTATATTGTTGTTTAATATTTTTACTTTTAATTTATTGTCTGGGAGGAAATTGTCCCTTTCGGAGGGAAACGTCCTAAAATCATTTTTTACACAGTTAAAAATAAAAAGTTTCGTTCGTCTCACAGTATGACATTGTGTATTAAATTGTTGGTTTGCGGTAGAGAAAAAAATGACAAAACACGAAGAAAATCTGACTGACTGGGTTCGTTATGTACGAAAAAAAAGTGAAAAAGTAAAACCCTTATCGTAGTCCTAACCGACCGCAATAGTTTTAATTTTTATTGTAGGGCCGTAGGGGTGTTTGTTGTCGGCTGAAAACGTGACGATTCGTTTGAATATTATTTTAAATTGGTCCGTGTCGTACCCAGCCGCGTTATATTAGGACTTCTCGGATAAACTGTGTGAACACTGGAACATGTGTGCAGCGTTTACACACCGGCGTGGGGTGTTGCATGACGTTCCTAAACAGGTACCGAACACGTATTATAGTCGGAATAATAATACGTAGTATAATATATTATAATAAATAATAATAAGGGTACTTTGTGCTCAGCGTATATAGCGTCGTCGGCGTGGTGCACATGTGTTGTGCCGCTGGTCGTACCGAGAGGGGTCGTCGAGAGAAAGATCCTGCTTGTGTGCGTGCAACGGCGCTCCCGTCTTCACCGCCTCGCCCGTCGAACGTGATTCTGATGCACGAAAACAGATTGTTGTGCGTGCGGACAGAGAAACGTAGACGAAGAGAGACGGCATGAACGAGAGAGAAAGACAGCGACCGCGAGACGTTATACAAAAACGAAACCGGTCGTGTCGGTCGGTGCAGCTGCTGCCGCCGCCGCTGTCACCCGTTGACGACCGTCTTGGTGTTGCATGTGTTTGAGCGGGCCCACTGTCGATGCAGCGGGGGCGGGGGAGCAGGGTTCAACGCAACAAATCACGCGGTGGACGTGAAGGGACGTGGCGGGGGGGGGGGCGATTGTGTGTATGTGTGCGAGCGCGCTCTTTTCTCGTAAGCCGCTTTGTGACGGTGGGTGGATGGGTGGGTTGCATGGCGGGCGGTTAGCGGGGGGGAACCGGTGGTCATCGGGTGAATGGTGGTGTTTGCGGGGTAACGCGCGATTGTTTCTTGGACACCCGACACCTTTGCCACCACGGTCCACGAATTGGAATTTATTCCTCGGCCGGGCGATTCGACGCCTCCGACGTGTGACGACGACGCGTCCAGCCGTCGCGTGTCGGTGTCTCGGAAAATAATAACATACGATATTTATATTATTATTATTATTTTTGTTACCATGATAATAATATTATAAAGTATTTTAATATTACGATTTTATTATAATGTGACGACGACCGTAATCTGACACCCCCAGAAACCGGACGGCCGCTCCCGTCCGAATACGTTATATTATATTTTTATTAATATTATTTTTTATGAATTGCCGCATGCGTGTATATAGTATTTTCGAAGATCAAATTTACTGTTGTCAATTGTTCCCGTAAATAATATTTAGGTCGACATTTTTTTTCGGAGTTTAATAATCGACCGTGGTTGGCTATAATTTATAGTAATAACTAATAGTATAATAGTATAATACATTATATTATTTAGGTAGGTATAATTCATTTATATCGTTTTTCAATTCGGCTTGGCGTGTGTACGTTATTATAAGGAAGCAAAATGTACTTAAAAGTTAAAACCCGTATATTATGTTTTTGTTCAATTATAAGCATTAAAACAAAACGCTCAAGTCTCTGCGGTATATTATTTTCCTTAAAAACCCAGTGGGTCCCGTAGACACACCCGAAATTATGTTTTATGTACTGGAGCCTAGAGTAATAAAATCGTAAACGCCTAAACGCAGGTAACGAAAAACCCATCAGTTTTAATTAGTCTTCAGGTTTATAATAATAAAAAAATTACCCGCTCGCTCTCACATCATCCACCGAACTGACTGACTCCTACGTGTTTAATATAATATAAAATAATATAATATCAGATCGTCAATGCGGGCATTCAAGTCTCTCATTTTCTTTTCCTCTTGCGATTTATAACCGATTAATAATTAAATGTCTCGGTAACACCATTATGCCGCCCACTGGCACATAAATCATAAATTATGTAAATTACTGTATAAAATATTCATATTATATGAATAACACGTATTCATATTTTTCTGACATGAGTTTTTAAATGGTTTTTTTAGGTGTGACAGATTTAGTTGCATTGTTGTAATATCTCACAGCATGGCTGTGTGAGGTTTGAAATCGCTTATCTTAGTGTGTATACCGTATAGACAGACCAGGTTTTTATTATTCAACGTTTTTATGTAAAAGGGGTTAGTTGGATTGACCCAAACGCATATACTGCGTATCCATTTTGAATTTTTATACATAGCACAGTCGTCGTCGTTGTTGGTTAACAGCTCTTTGTGTCTGTTTTTACCTGTACTCTCTTTACCTTTTATGATGTTTAATATTTATAAGGCTAGGCAACAGGTGTTTTATTATTATTATTTTTAAAGTAGGGGGAGGATTTAAATAGAATATTTTTATCCCTAATAAAAACGATTTCTCATCGTTCGCTTGCTCGTACATTTTTAAAGTCTTAGATTTAAGACAGAGAGTTAAATAAATATTTTGTGGCCAATATTCGGAAAAAACTTATATGTAAATTTCTAGTTTTATTTATTCTCTAATTTAACACTACTTTTTATAATATTACCTATTTGTTTTAATATATTTTCATCTAACGTTTTATAAAATGTATAATAATTTTGATTGTAAAAACTTACTGCCGTAAAAATTGCTTGTATATAATTGAAATTTAATTATTACACAAAACTAAATAATTAATCAATACGTAGATGTGTAATATTTTTTGTTTATTTTTTTTTTTTGTTACTGTATAAACAATTTAGGTGGGAATAATATAGGTTAAAAAAAATGAACTTGAGATAAAAAATAAATATATCATATTTTACGTATTGTCTGTGTAACGGAATGAATGTCCAGATGAATTTTAATGAAAATATCTGGGCTACCGGTTTTTATTAGTCTTTGTTCAACGAATGGCGCCGACACTATACGAAAAGATTTTTTGATTCTTTCTTTAATCGTCTCATAATATTTTTATTGTTCTTTTTTAACACATTAATTTGTTAGGTATCTAATTTAATTGGAATTCAAACACTAACAGGTTTTTTGCAAACATTTATTTACAAATTAATTTTGAATGAACGACTGTAAATAAATTTATTATTTAACAACATGATGTTTAATGAAAAGAAACATTTAATATATATTGTATTATACCATAATTTTTTCAATTGTTTTAATTTAAATATTTAACGAAATTTTTTTATTTTAGTCCATGGATTGACGTGTTATTGCGAACACCAATGTCCAGGCGGCCAGACAAATGGAACATGTGTAACTTCACGCTATTCCCAATGCTTTAGTTCTGTGCGTGAGGAGATAAATGATGAAACCGGCGAATATGAAGCCACAGTATCTTATGGGTGTCTTGCAGCTGGTGAACAAGGCTTCTTACAAGTAAATATTTTGAAAATTGTTGCATTGTAAATAATTGATACATTCTTATTTATTTTTTTTTTCTAGTGCAAAGGTGGGAATTCCTTGTCTGGCCTAGCGATTCAGTGTTGCAACTCAGACATGTGCAATAAAGACTTAAAACCCATGTACATACCACACAGTACAACAACAGTACCACCCAAAGTTCATAATAATTCTGTACCTTACATAGCATTCTTGTTGTCACTGGTTATATGTCTCCTAGTATCTGCAATCATCATTGGTTGGATATACCTTAGGTATAGAAGAAAAGAGAAAAATCGGCTGTATGCTTTAACATCTACTGAAAGCTATATATCTGGCACCAGTAACTTGTTGCAAACGCTTATTGGTCATTCATCTGGATCTGGTTCTGGGATTCCACTACTTGTAAGAATCAATATGAGATTAAAATAAAACACTGAATACTATGTAAAAAATATGTTATTATTTAGGTTCAAAGAACAATTGCCAAACAAATACGAATAGAACGGCAAATTGGAGAGGGTAGATTTGGTAAAGTATGTTTAGCTAACTGGAGAGGTGAACATGTGGCTGTGAAAGTTTTTACTACTATTAATGATCAAAGTTGGCTACGAGAAACAGAAATATACCAAACTGTTTTACTTAGACATGAGAACATTTTAGGTAAATTATTTAATTAATATTATCGATTTTGATTGTTTAAATCATTATGTTATCTAAAAAAATTTTAGGTTTCATTGCGGCTGATTTGAAAGTTAGTGCTGGAGGTGCTCAGATGATGTTAATCACAGAATATCATAAACGTGGTTCTTTATATGATTTTTTGAAAGAGAATACTATTGATACCACTCAGCTAGTCGTGATGGCACGATCAATAGCTAGTGGCTTAGCACATTTACACGAGCCAATTAATGGTACTCATGGAAAACCATGTATTGCCCATAGAGATATTAAATCAAGAAATATTTTGGTCAAGACTAATGGAGAGTGTTGTATTGCTGATTTTGCTTTAGCTGTCCGATATGATAGGTATTTATTTATTTATTTTATACAACATATTTTTAGAAACTATGAATAATTCCTATTTTTTGTATGGTTTTAGTCGAAGAAATGAAATTGACATCGCTCCCAACTTAAGAGTAGGCACTAGACGTTATATGGCTCCTGAAGTAGTGAATGACACTATTGATGTGACTTCATTTAGCTCATTTAAATCTGCTGATATGTACTCAGCAAGTTTAGTGTTTTGGGAATTGTGTAGGCAAGTATTAGAATAATTTTACTTAAATCATGATTTTGAATTATTCCATTTTGCTAATCTAAAATAATTCTCAATTTCTTTAATTTATAGAAGAAGCAGACAAAGTTGGCCAGTTGGAGGATCACCTATGCTTCAAGCTGATGAATATATGTTGCCTTATGCCAATCTGGTTGGCTCTGATCCTTCAGTGGAAGACATGCGCGTAGTATTGATAATTCAAGGAGCTAGACCAGACATACCTATTCGATGGAAATGTGATAATGTGAGTATAAAAATAATATAAATGTCATTTATTATTTTTTATTGCAATATATTTATTTGTATTTCAGAGATTGAGAGTGATATCAGAAATCATACAATTTTGTTGGCATCAAAATCCAAATGTGAGATTGGCAGCATTGAGAGTTATGAAGACGCTGCGTAAACTTGAAGATAGTGAAACCTTAGAAAACGGTATTCATCATGTTTAATACAGGATAAATATAATTTTACAGCAATAAAAGCTGATATTATGTAGGATTTTATATTTTTGCCCAAGACTGTGTAGATAGAATTAAATTTAATAATACTAAATTGCTATTATCAACATTGAATGAACACCAATGATGTTTTTTTATCAGTTGATCTACTTAACATTTAGCTTATAAATGTGTGCCATTAATGTGTTATAGCAGTGTAAATAATTTTTTTATCTTTAAGATTATTTTTGTGTTTTTTTTTTTATATTTCTGTTATACAGTAGAAATTGATTTTACATTTTCAATAGGTATTTTTTAACTATGCAATTTTTTTTGATGTTAAATTTGTTCTGAATGTTTTATTTGGTAAACAGTGTGTAAATAAAAAGAGAAATTACTTCCTCATAATTTAATTTTATAATCACTCCAATTTCACAACAATTTCTACTGTACATATTGTGTCTTTGATTTAATTGTTTTCCTTTTTGTGTACTATACAATTAGAATTTAATTTTCAAATTTTCCTATAATCACCCAAATGACATTTATCTCTCTGTATAACTAATTGTGGTTATAGATAGTTTCTAAAGCTGTGTAACCGGTTCAAATCAGTTAATTATTTAATATTGAATTTCTAAAATTATATGACATAATATATTAATTATAATTATAATACTATATAGTTATATATTACAGATTATTTTTTTTACTATGTACATTAAACAATCATTGTTATTTATTTACTGCATTATAATATTTTGTTAATATAATTGTTTTTATTTTAAATGTATACTTACCTAGTAGATTACAAGTCAACCTATAAAGTTAATGTAAAATGTATAAATGTATACAATATACTTTACCTATAATTTATTTTTGATAGTAACGTTTGTGTTTTTAAGACTAAATCATTTTTTAAACTGCAACGTCAATTGTGTTGTTCTTAAAAGACTTGTAAAAATTTTTCGTTTTATATAATTATAAATAAACTGTGTATACCTTTTATACTGTCATATTTATTTATAATCATATAACTGATGTAAATATCTTAAATACTTTTACAATGAAGGTTTGACCGTGTACTGCATACACTTTTTAGAGATTTATTGAATTTTTTCAATAATACCTACTTGATTATAAATAACATTAAATACGCATAATCAACTTTTAAATATTTAAACGTTTTTAATAAATTTAAATGAGCCATTACGACAATTTGTATACAATAAATAATATAAATGAAGTTTAACTTAAAGTATCTTAAATTTATTAAACCCTTTTATAACTTACTATTTATTATATTGAAAAATAATATATTTTTGTGTTATAATAAAAAAAATCTTAATATATTTTTATTAGTATCAATAATGTTTATCTTTATTCAAGTGTTCTTAGCTTTGTTATTATTAGCTCATAATGTAAATATATCTTCCCTAAAAGTAAGATTATAAAAAAAGTTGAACCAAGAACTCCATAGCTGTAATAAATTGTTTATCAAACGTTAAACGGCTGTCGCAACTCGTAAGTTAACTAAGTTAACTGAAGTCTGGGATCAATGGACAATGATAATTAACAAGAGTGCCAATCGGTTGTTGTATTTAGAATTTGTATTAATTTAAGATTTTAGAAATAAAACTACGAGATTACGATATGTACACTGGTTTCCAATTTTTTTCAGTTTCGGTTTTGGATTTAGGTAATACTGATTTCCAATTTTTTCCGATTTTGTCATCGGTTTCAGTTTTTAAACGGTTTATATTATACCGGTTTCTAAAATCGGTTTCAAGACCTGGACTATTTATGTTCATTCTTAGTTTATTCATTTTTTTGAATCGCTGGATCGAGCGTCCGATCGCCTGTGTAAAGTAAACCTTCAAAAATGTCAAGATACAAAGATTTAAAAAAAAAATACCTCTTTTTTATATTATATTATCGGTTTTTAATTATAATACAGGTATCCAATTTTTTTCGAGTCGGTATTGAATTTAATACCAGTTTCCAATTTTTTTGGTTTTGGTTTTTTATTTTGTTCTCGGTCTCAGTTTTATAACGGTTTATACCGGTTTTAAGCCCTGCACTATTAACTGAGAGAAAAAGTAAATTTTAAATTAGAGGGGGTTTAAAAGTTTTTTGTGGCAATGAATAAAAGGAAACTGAGAAAAAAGGGGTGCCAAAATGTGTGTACCTAGGGCGCCAAAATCCTAAATACGTCACTGGTTTGCCACCGAAGAAGAGATCTCTGTCTCTACCCAATATGCCCTTAGGTGCAAATTCCGGGGGCGATGCGCCGGAAGTTAGGTTGACGGTTTCCAAAGATTCCCCGTGCGCCGTATCGTCTGTAGCGACATTGATGACACTAGCAGCTGCTGCTGTAGAAAACAGCTTGCTCGAGCAGCAGTTATCCGACGGCTTGGAGCTTGTGGCGACGGACACAGTAACCTGCGGTGATGAGGGGACCGAACCGGCGATAAAAAAGGTGACTCCTAGACGTCCGCGTTCATTGTGGGACCGGACCAAGAAAGTTCTCAGGCAAATTTTCTGTTGCTGTGCGGTTGGCCAAGCAGACGATTAAATGAGTTTATATGGTTTTGTAACAAATATTTGGGCAGCGGATCTTAAACATCCCCTTCCCCCCAACCATCAATTAAACTTTTTTGTATTTATAAGTATTTAATTTAACGTCGCACTTTTTCACTTTTGTATCCAGCCCCACTCCTGTCGTGTTTACCGGACGCCGGACAAACCGTTTACGTCTTCCACGTTGAACGTCTGTACAGAGTTAGGTCAGGTTTACTGTGCAGCCGTCGGCTCTCTGCCCCCGAGTTTTATTTTTTCGTCTGTTTTTGCGAATTTATGTTATTAGTCGTAGGAACGCTGTATTATAGTTTATTATATTCGCTTTGTCTTTTCACCGTAGTGATTTAGGTACCCCGCGGTAGGCGTCTCGCTTGGTTTGTGTCATAAACTTGGTACGTTGATATGATGGCGTTAAAACGCTCGCGCTATGTAGTTTAAGAACCTAAAACCGTTTTATTTGCATAAACCGGTTTATCAAATGTACATATACAAGTTTAAGCAAAAAAAACGGTTTTAAGTTCTTAAGTAGGTAACTTTAGTTTTAAATTCTTAAACAGTTTAAGAACTTAAAACCCCTTTTATTTGCTTAAACTTGTAACATTAATATATGTACATTTGATAAACCAGTTTATGCAAATAAAATGGTTTTAGGTTCTTAAACTACATAGCGCGATCGTTTTAACTTTCAAAACGGTTTAGTTTTAAACCGTTTTAACGCCATCATAATATAAACGTAGTAATAGATACCTACGCTGTGGTAATAACCAATGTGTATATTAGCGGTTACCGCTGCCTCCCGCTGCACACTGGTCCAAAAAAAACAGTTGAAAAAAAATATTTTCTTGGTAATTTTTATTATATTGTGACTTAAGCAAACAATAAAAAGTATTTAATATTGTATTTCATTGCTATTTACAGTAAATTAATTATGCATTTTTTTTTTATACAGTAATCTACGTTTTAATATACGAATGTTCATAATATGCTAGTTGTTCTCAATTTAATTATTCGTACTCCATAAATTCGCCTTAACTATTTTCCAGGTCTATGTCCCCGGCACCCCCCCCATTTCGAATTTCTGGTGCAAACCCGGGGCGATTGTTTGTGCTTCGTTAGTGCACGTTAGTGCTTCTCATCCCATCGTTAGTGCTTTATCCGTTCCAAAGTTATTCGCATTTCGTACAGAGGGGTGCCGTACTATTGAGGTACTAATTTTAGTCCAGCCCTTCAATACAATGAGGTAAAAATGATCCTTGGATGCATTCCAGTTAAATCTCGTGGTTTTAAGATTAAATTACTTAAATTAATAATAATTAATTAGTAATAATAACGTAATATATAAAACTCAGATTTAAGTAATTTAATCTTAAAACTACGAGATTTAACTGGAATGCATCCAACTATCCAAGGATCATTTTTACCTCAATGTGTTGAAGGGCTGGACTAAAATTAGTACGTCACTAGTACCCCTCCCCCCCCCCGTACGATATGCCAATAACTTTTGAAGGAGTAGAGCACTAACGACCGGATGAATAACACAGTGAAGCATTAACAAAGCATAAAACAGAAATTCGAAATGGGGAGGGGGGGTCAAACATGGACCTGGAAAATAGTGAAGGCGAATTTATGGAGTACGAATAATTAAATTGAGAACAACTAGCATGTTATGAACATTCGTATATTAAAACGTAGATTACTGTATGAAAAAAATATTCATAATTAATTTTCTGTAAATAACAATGAAATACAATATTAAATACTTTTTATTGTTTTTTGCTTAAGTCACAATATAATACAAATTACCAAGAAAATATTTTTTTCCAACTTTTTTTTTTTTTTGGACCAGTGTGCAGCGGGCGGTAAACGGTCACTTTGTACGGTCCATTGTTCAAAATATACAACGCGGACACTTTGTACGGTCGGGTAAAATGGTACATTGCAGAACGCGCGGACACTTTGTACTATTATTATATACATAAAGTATGTATATTATAAATATAAGTTATATACCTAAGTTAGCAAGTAAATAATTATTCTAAAATTGATTTATTAAACCCTTAGGTAATATTAAATAATTATGTATGTGCACTTTTTATCTAAGCTTGATACCATTTTGACATATTTTCATACTATTATACTATACAATATTATGTAGTTTTTTTTAATTTTTGTCAATATTATACTTTATACTTGTCATTTTGAGATATTTCCATATTATAGGTACTATGCATGTAGTTTTTAATGATTTTTTTTCATTATTATATTTTATTTGTCATTATGACATATTTATATTGTACACATTTTTAATTTGCTTTAAACTGATATCTAATATTATAATACAATTAAGATTTATAATAATATTATTGATTGTTTGATTATTTTGATCATTATTAATATACGATGAAACAATTTACTTTTTATTTTTAATTTTTATATTTTAATAATTTACATTATAATTTATAATATTATATATACTTACTACTTAGGTATATAACTTATATTTATAATATATATACTTTATGTATATAATAGTACAAAGTGTCCGCGTTCTGCAATGTACCTTTTTACCCGACCGTACAAAGTGTCCGCGTTTCGCACTTTTAATGCTCGACCGTACAAAGTGACCTAAAACCCGCTTCGGGGGGCAGCGGTAACCGCTAATATACACATTGGTTATTACCACAGCGTAGGATCTATGACACAAACCAAGCGAGACGCCTACCGTGGAGTACCTACATCACTACGGCGAAAAGGCAAAGCGAATATAATAAATTATAATACAGCGCGTAAAAAATAGTATAATATTAAAAATTCAATTATTCGTCGAAGTTTACACATAGATTTTATAAATTCGTATCGTATGAGCCGACCAGATTTGTATTTCATAATTTTTGATAAATAGTGTACATTTTTTGAAAATTTCGAAAGAACACAAGCGACAAGAAATTAACCAATCAAAAATTATGAAATACAAATCTGATCGGCTCACATGATACGAATTTATAAAATCTATGTGCCATAACTTTGACAAATAAATGGATTTTTAATATTATAGTATTTTTTTTAAGATGTCTTACACTTATATATATATATATCATTTAAAATCTGTTTTCTGTGTTTTTACATATATTATTTACATTGACTATTTTTTTGGTTTTTTTTATAGTATGTTTTACACTAATCTATATCTGCCATAACTTCGACGAATAATTGAATTTTTAATATTATACTATTTTTTTTCATATGTTTTACACTTATAATATATATCATTTAAAATCTGTTTTCTGTGTTTTTACATATATTATTTACATTGACTATTTTTTTGGTTTTTTTATAGTATGTTTTACACTAATCTATATCTGCCATAACTTCGACGAATAATTGAATTTTGAATATTATACTATTTTTTTTCATATGTTTTACACTTATACATATATATCATTTAAAATCTGTTTTCTGTGTTTTTACATATATTATTTACATTGACTATTTTTTTGTTTTTTTTTTATAGTATGTTTTACACTAATCTATATCTGCCATAACTTCGACAAATAATTGAATTTTTAATATTATATTATTTTTTTTCATATGTTTTACACTTATACATATCATTTAAAATCTTTAAAATTTTATTTTTATTATTATGTTATTTTTTAAGATGTTTTACACCTATAAACGTATGTAAATAACTACAAAAAAGTTTAATTGCTGGTGGGGAGAGGGAAGGGGACGTTTAAGATCCGCTAACGTGCACTAACGAAGCACAAACGATCGCCCCGGGTTTGGACCCGAAATTTTGCAAGGGGGGTGCCGGGGAGCATATAACCATTCTGCACACGAAATAAAACCCATGATTAAATCCTGCCTTCTGATTGGTTTACACATTTGGTGGGAAAATTTAAATTATTATGATATAATGTATGATATGATAAAATGTTTTTTACCTTTGTAACGGCCAAGGTACCTAACCTTATTTTAAGCAGGCGACTTAAATAATTATAGGTATTTATTTTTGCTATACTTTATCAACTGACATTAAATTGATTTATTACAATAGTCTTATATAATATAACGTTAATTATTTAATGTATTTATGCATTAATTTTGTGTAGGTACACATATTTAATACAAGTTCTAACATAAAATCTTTTAAAAATATTAAAATATTATATCGTATTTTAAGTTTGGTACCTATAGCTACATTCTGGAAATAGACAATGGTGTCTTTGTTATTGCACATATTTTGAAACTAAAAAAAGTAATAACTGTAAGAAACACATTTTAACATACCCATTCTAATTTGTCCTAGACAAAAGATATTTAAATCTTAAACTTTTTATTTTTTAACATTTATTTCATAACCATGTAGTAGACATATTTATTTTAAACCCCCAATTGATAAACCTAAGCAAGATAAAACACAAAAATTTTTTATTCATATTAGGTAGGTACTATTAAACTACTACTATTTGCATGCTATTTTGTTTTTGTTTTTGATGATAATAATATGCATATAGGTTATGAATTATTATTTCTATTATTATATAATATAATGTTTTTTTACCTTTTTTTACCTATTCAAAAATATGAAATATATACATTTAATTAATTTAAGTAGTCAACATAAATACAAATTTCTACTTATATTTATTTTACTTTATTATCTTAATAATATAATAAATTAATAATATAATCAATGAGATTTTCCGTTAGGCAAACAATGTTTTATGTTTTGTAATAGTTTCCTGGGGTTTTTTTTTAGATGTACCATGATCACTTAAAGTTGGTCTACCTACAAGATAATCAAATTTGTTAAGGCACAATATCATTGTTATATATGTCTATTATTATAAATTACCTGATGGTAAACGCTTGCTACTTCTTGTTATCCCTGGTCTACGCCTAGAAATTGTAGTCGGCTGTACTCTAATAGCTGCACCCTCTCTACGCCGTAATGGTATTGTCTCAGAACCAGCAGTTGCCAAAAATGTATTA